TTGCCTAGAATAGGTGCTCAATAAATCAAATGATGCATATACCATATTTAATTGTATCCTCAAAGACTTGGGGAATTTGCATGGCAAATAATCTCCCTATGTTATAAGTCAGACTGAGGCTCCAGCAGGTTAAGTGATTTGGCATCTAAGCTAACTCAGAGAATCAGTGAAATGCTCCATAACAGTCCTATTATAGCTTCTAATTCTATTTACACCTTCTCCAAGTGTATGGAAAAGTATGTCAACTGTACAAGTATTTTCATTCTTAATTTCTTTCTGTCAATCAGTTAAAAATTCCAAAGGACAGAGACAATAACCATCAGTACTTGTCAAAACATGGATTATAATTTAGGTTTACATTCTGAAGCTTAGATTAAAATTATTCATACTGCAGTTCTTTGTTTAATAGAATTAACACAATTATCAACATTTTTGCTTCGCCTTGACAAGTAGTTTTAAAAGATACTTTACTGAAAGATATTGGAAAGAATCATGCTTCAAAACGTGAACTACATTAAAAAAAAAAAAACTATATTCATACAAAATAAAGTGACAGTGACCCAAGGAGGTGTATGTATAAAATGTAATATTCCTGTTAATTTTTAAATAGAGTTGTATGAATTTCACACATAGAAACTGCAAAAATTCATTGACATTTATTTGTAAGATGGTTTCAAGATCCAGGAATTTTATAGAAGTTTTCTTTCTATAGAAGAGAGAATAATGCTAATGAGTGAATATTAAGTATAAGACACTAACACTACAGAGGTAAATAAGTAATTATATACATTTCCAAAAGTGGGATAAATCACACATTCAGTTATATAATAATTCAAGGACTTGTAAGAAGCAAGATGTACTTGAGTGTTCAGATAATTACTTTTAATTAACAAGTCTGTGTCATAAAAATCCCAGAATATTTTGTTAGAAATATAAAAATATTCAATAAAGGAAAAATATGGATCTTTAAAGATAGAAGGGGTCAACCACTGGAAAGAGGAAAGGTTTTACTTCTTTTGCCTACTCATAAAAGCTAAGTCTAGACATTCATAATTACACCAATTAATTGGCCATTTTGGCTAAATTATGTAAATTGTCTGCATACTCTTCTCAAAGTACATAACTGCCAATGCTATTTTCACTTTGGTCAAGTCTACACTAGCTGGCAAAATGAAGTGGATAATTAATACAATTATTCTGATAATTTAGATCAAACATTAATTAAGGTAAAAGCAGATTTATGGGGGAGGGGCTGGAAACAGAATATAAATGTTCCTCTTGTGTTCTATAAGCATGTCGAAAAGATTTTCTATTTCTTGAATTGTTTTTGAAATCTGGTTTCAAAACACTTAGTGTGCATTGTTTCTATAGCAATTCCTTAGTCAGAATCTCAGGTTCTATAATTCCCAAGATGTCTAGGTAACAGAATGGTATTTTAGAATTGTTATAAAGAATCATTATAGCTCCATTCGCATAAATCTCATTTCCTAAGTTCACTGACAGCACTAGTAAAATTTACCCACATTCTCAACTCAAAATTAAGTCATTGAAATATTTTTAAACCAACACTAGGAATATTTTCTTTATAATGGCATTATAGTTATGCAAACGCCCTTTTCCCATAAGTGTGCTGAACCAATTACAAGAAATGCAATGATGTTCATAATTTACTTCAAATGGGTGGGGAGAGAAATAGATATATGTGCGTGAATTAACAATATATCTATCTAGATAAATTGATAGTATGTTGGTATTTATCATCTATCTACTTACCTAAAGAGAAAAACAGAAAGAGAAATTTTAAACAATTGTCTCAAATTATTAATGATGTTAACCTAAATGAAGGGAATGTGGATGTGCTCTGAAATTAAGTGTTTTATTGTACTATTATTTCAACTTTTCTGTAGGTTTGAAAATTTCAAAATAAAAAGTTGGAAGAAATATACATTATAAGTTTCATATAAAATAACTCGTAACTATTCAGTAGTCATCAAACCCACATGAATATGATACCCCTGAGATGGAAAATTCAGCAGTACCTCATTTCTTAAAACCATACTGTGAAATCTATAGTAAAGATTCTTTCCAAAAGGTCTTAAGTGAGCACTTTAAGATATTCCCAAGGTTTCCCATGCAGGGTATAGTTAAAGAGCATTCCACTTGAGATCCTTGCCTGAAAGGCCCTATAGAATTGCAAAGTATCATTATTAAGCAAATGTTCCTGGGCCCTTGGGTGGTTCACTTAAAACACATTTCACTGTATTGAATATTCAATGCCAAAAGCACACTGTTCAGTGTTAAGATTTGCAATTTAAACCCAGTTGGGAGAAGTAAAAGGTTCTTGTAATTTGCCTATATGGTATTGCATTGATGTAGTAGCTTTCATTGATAATTAAGTTCCAAAAATATGAGTTAGATTGTGTGAACAATGGAGGAAAGCTAACCTTTCTATTATAGCCTTAGCTCTTGACTTCTTGTATTTAAGATTACAGATGCTCCATTAAATCAATTTTGTGTTTAATCTCCTCTTGAAAAACAGTGAAAGTAAGTTCCCAACTTTCTTCCCTTTGAAAGAACCAAAGTATTTGACAATGAAAACTACAAGGCTCAAACCAACTGATTAATACCGCCCACTGGGGATAAGAAAAGTTTAATGTGTCCCTTTTGGGTAGTTTTCCTCAACTAACTCTCATTGGTTTGGAATGTCAAATTATATTCCACACTAGATTTTCAAATAATTTTTGGAGGAATCAGATTTTACAGGCCAGGGAGTATGTTTAAAGTAAGATTAATTGTGTTGGGTATACTTTTAACAAAATCAGAATTTCTCCATTGTAATGTGACGTAAAAGTCACCTAGTTCCCTTGCCCTGTTTTAAAAGTTTTTAGATCCCTCGGTAAAATATAAAGATTCAGAACAGAGAACAGAAATAAATACACACATGCATGCATACCCAAAACTTACAAAGAAATCAGGGGATGGTCATTACATCAAATTGGAATTACTTGATTCCCTTTGGATTTGCTCTGGAGTGGTCAAACCCATCTCCCTGCTTTAGATTCTGGGGAAATGGCCAGCTGATCTATCTGTCCCCTCACCTTTCCCAGCATCAGTGGTGCTGGGAATACACCACAGCACGTGGTCACTGTCAACTTTAGAGCCATGGAGAAAATCCAGCTTATACTCAATATTGAGTTTACCTTGAAAGGCAGTAAAACTACCTTGGCAATGAGAGCATAAATGGTGCGTTTAGGGCCTCTCTGGTGGCGCAAGGGGTTAAGCACAGCACTGTGAAGCTATCCGCAGCCTCTGTAGCAGGGGTTCGATACCCCACCAGGGAGATACCCACATGGCAAAGCAGGCCTCTCCTGTTTCGTTCGCCTGCTGCTCCCGTCAGCAGTGTGTTTCAGTCAGTCTGCCTGTTCTGTTCCCCACTCTGTCTCTGGTGAATCCTCTCACCCCCTGCACCTATGGCCTGTACCCCAGTTCTTGTATGCATAAACAAATAAATTTAAAAAAAAAATAAACGGTGCATTGGGAGATTTGGGTGGGAGATCCCGCCCCCCCCCCCCATTTTTACAGCAAGGGAGTGGTGAGGCAGGAATGGTACATCAGTGATGCTCTAGTGTGGTACCCAGATTAGCAGCTTCAGCATCTTGTGGAAATTAGAAATACAAATGATCAGGCCCCACCGCAGGGCTACTTAAGCAATCGGTTTCGGTCCAGCAATCTGCATTTTACTTATCCCTTTGGGTAATTCTGATGTCTCCTCGCTAACAGAGAATAGAGAATATACATTTTCTAAAGCAGCTCTAAAGTCCAGTCTAGTCCAACCTAGAGGGGAAGGCCAGCGAGCAGGAGATTCAGCCACCGTGAGGCTAGGGTGGGTCCCAGGTCGTCTGACCTGTCCACGACGCCCTCCCCGCACACAAGCCCCCGTGGTCGCTGCCCGCCCCGCCCCGCCCCACCCCACCCCATCGCACCCCACCCCACCGCACCCCACCCCACCCACAGCCTTTCCGCCCCCAGGCAGCGCCCGCCGCCCAGCGGGAATCTGGTCGGCAGCCCCAGGCGAGGCAACCCCTCCGGCGGCCGCGCGTGCCGGCCGCAGCCCCCTCCCGCCCGCCAGCCCCTTTGTCCGCCCCGAGGGCGGCACCTTCCCGCCCGCGGGGTGTGCGAGCCCTCGGGGGGTGGGAGAGGAGGAGGGACGGGGGAGGGAAGAAGGAGGAGCGGGGCGGGCGGCTGAGTGCAGGGGTGGGGAGCCGGCGGGGCACACTACACTCCCGTCCCGCCCGGCCTGTGGAAGGAGCTTTTGTAGCCGACTCGGGAGTCCGCGCGAAACCACCGCCCCGGGGCGGGGTGGCGCCTCCCCCTTAGCAGGAGCCGACGCGGCCTTCCCGGCCCCGGAGCCGCGGCGGCCTGCGCGTCCCGGCCCGGCCTAGCGCGGAGCAGCCGGAGGCGCTCGGCGGGAGAGCGCGGCTAAGCGGAGGGGAGGGCCGGAGGGTGGAGCGGGGCGGGGCTGGGCCGGGCCGCGGCGGAGCCGAGCGCCCGCTCCTCCGCCTCCCGCGCCCGCCGCAGCCTGGCCGCGCGGGCGTGCGGGCGGGCGGGGACGCGTGTGCCCCCCGGCGGGCGGCCTGCGCCCCGGGCTGGGACGTGCGAGGCGGCGCGGGCCCGAGTGCAGCCCCGGCCGCGGCGGGCCAGCGAGACTCGGACGGGCGGCGGCCGCGGTGGGGGGGTTTGCGGGGGGCGGAGAGCAGGAGGCGGGGCGGGGCGGGGCGGGAGGGGGCAGGCCGGGGAGGGAGGGGCGCCGGTCAGGGAGGGGAGCGCAAATATTGTGACTGCCGGGTACGGAAATCATCCGGGAAACTGCCGGAGCGCCCCGCACCCGACTGCTGGGACCCGACGGCCCCTCTTGGGAAGGTCTCCCCGACGGCGCCCATCCGGCCGTCGCTCGTCGTGCCCCGTCCGGCGGCGGCTGGGGAAAGTTGTCCACGACTCACCTTTTATTCTAGTTCCCCAAAGACAGGCTATTAATTAAGCTGACTTCTGGGGAAGCTGCAGTTCCGGAAAGCGCGGGGCGGTTGCCACCGTCTGAGGCGAGGTGAGGGGGCGCCTCTCCCGTCAGTGCCTCCACCCCACCCCCGGCGTTTCTCGCTGCCGGCCTCTTAATCTGATCCCTTAGAGGGTCGTCGCACAGAAAGGGGACCCAAGGTGAATGTTCAACTCTGGAGGGCAAAACACCCCTGGCCTACGTGAAACTGAAAGCGGGAGCGCGCCCTAAAGTTGCCCGGACAGTTGCTCGCGGGACGCGCGGATCCTCGCGGCTTCCTGTGCGCGGGGCGGCCTCGGCGGGCGGCCGCGGCGCCCCGCGTAGTGGGTCCTGCGGCGCGGAGGGACTGCGGGACTCTGGTTCCGCAAGGCCCTTCCGCCCCAACTGGAACTGGGACCTACAGGCCTTTTCAAAGCCAACACCCGGTTGTAATTTCCTCCCGCAGAGCATTTAACCCACAATTTTGCTATTTCTAACCGTTTGGGAATTTCATTTCTCAAATCTTACCCGAGGGGGGGAGAAATTCGAATCAACGGGAACTTAAGTGGTTTTGATTCAGTTAGTACATCAGCAGCAAGTCACCTAATAAAACTAGTCGTGAGTATCTAAAGCTTATTTTGAAACTTTAAATACCACGTTAACTGTTCCAGTTTCAGTTAAATACGTGCTGAAGTCTATCAACACACTCAAATTGAACAGAAACACTCATTTTAATATCCTAATACCGATCAATCAGTAGTGCAGGTGTCTTTTACCACCACACAAAAAATGTTTCTTTTGTTTCGAGTTTGGCTCATACTAGTTTGCTGCACACCTTTCTTCTTAGACTTCTACTTTGGTAAAGGTATACCGAGATTGTAGAGATTTTGTCTTCCTTTCATTTTCTAAGTTTAGAGGACTTACTGAACCAAGACAGGAAAATATTTTAAGTGGATCCATGAGTCCTTCTTTATCCAGATAGTTTCAAATAAACTGACCTTGTACCATATTAGTCAAATCTTTTCAGTTTACAACTGTTTTTTCAAGCTTCATGAGAGGTGGGGGCGGGGAATGTTATGCCTCTGTTAGAATATGTAAAATCGAGAAAACTACTGAAGCACCATCTACAGAAAAACTTTGTTGTTAATAGCTTGCTCTTTTGAAGGTAATGGGCATTCCATCTCAGGGTTGTAAACGCCAAGTGTAGACACCAAAGTCGTGGGCTTTGGTTCTTCCAATGTTTGGTTTTTTCAATGCTGATCAAAGAGCAAGGTTTTTGCCCTATGCGGTCCCGATGGAAAATGTTTTTAGAACAATTAGACATGATAATAATCAGTTGTTTTTTCCACTTTAAGAAATGTTGCAAAACTTTAAAGGAAATTAAATAAAGACTAAGGAAAAGAAGAAAGGTTGGCTAGCATCTTAAGGGCAAGGACTTTAAGAGGAAAAAGTTTGTCACTTTCCCACTCCTTAATACCTGCACCCCAGGTCCTTGTTTTGAATTAAAATGGGGCAGTCTTTTTTGGTGACCAGCAGGATCCTTGGTATTTAAGATGGAGAATCTTTGGGGCAATGTTGGGGGAGGGGTGATGCAAAGTGATAGGGAGAAACGCAGCTTAGAGACACAATTCAGCAATTTGGAATGTTCGGGTGAGGTGATTGTGGAAAACTGTTCTGTCTGAGCAAACTTCATTGCTTTTTCAGAATCCATAAGCAAGAACCAAGATTTTATTTCCTCTTAAAAAGGAATCTCTGCCAAGTACAGGAGTCGATATTTGTCAAGCCTTAAATTTAAAAAGCATCTCCATTTTTCGTCTAGATGAACGTTTCCGTCTGGATTTGGAAGCGAGGACTTCGCTCCAGATAAGGTAGATGCCCTTAGACCCAATGATTAGTACATTACGCCAGGAATTTCTAGAGCTGATGCAGATATTTGATGTCTAACTCCTGAAGTGTGGGTGGTATCTACTAAGTTGGCCCCCTCTCAGGTTTATACCCTGCACCCTCACCCAGCAGCCCTGACCTCCAAGGAAAGACCTGAAGGTGGACAGCGCCTCTGCTTAGAGAGGAGGACTGCATAGATTTGACGCCAGTTTGTAAACTGGTGGACAAAATTAATCACTGTTTCCACCTAGAAGTCCCCAGTCCCCACCAAAACCAACTGTCTTCTCAGGAGAAGTAAACTGAGTGTGTGCGGGTTTTCTGGCCAAGACCATTGCTAAGTCCTGCAAAACTCACTGAAATGAAGCGTGAACGATGTTTAAAAAGAAAGAAAGAAAGAAAAGAAAAGACAGACCTGGGTGGAAGACTTCGGTGTGTGGGGGAGCGTGATGTACGACCTGGGGGCTCTAACCCAAAATTACAAAGGCTGCGTGGGCGGGACTCACCCAGACAGTTGTACTGGACCAAGCAAATCCCGGATTCACACGACACCCTTTGCTGCGACCAATACGTGCTTCCAGTTCGATTACCACGGAAGCTCTTTGGGCTGATTCAACTTGACCTAAACGTGTGACCCATCTCGTTTACCAGAGGAAAAGGGGCCTGTGACTCCTTTCACTTTGGCAGCACCAGAAAAGTGGAACTGTGGGCTAAAGCGTGTGTCTGTGTGTGTGTGTGTGTGCGTGTGTGTGTGTAGTTTGGTAGGTGTAGACGCACATGTTCGACTTCCAAACATTTTTGTAAAGGTGTGTTCTCGTTTGTAATTTACAAACCAAGTAAATTTCAAGGAGTTTAATAGTGTTATCAAACACTTAAATGCAATCAGCTTTCCTCCAAAATTGCATTCTCTTTATTCTTAACATCCTTGGCTAAGAAATGTGGGATTTATTGGGAAACCTTCCATAGGAAATTCTTAGTCAAGTCAGATGTGTTAAATATATACGGACTGAGGTAACTTAAAAAAAGTTAAAGTGAAGCATACAAAAATATTCCAGTATGCTTTGCAACCTTATTCAGAAAAGCACATCTTTCACGTCCCCACAATAATTCCTTGCCCTAGTATCAAAGTGGCTTCTGATAGTTCCACATCATGGGGGGGAGGGGAAGTTATCAAAAACCTGCACCCAAATTTTGATTGGGATTCAATATTCTAAGCAAAATATGCTCAACAGATGATAGTAGAGATGAAGCCAGAAAACAACTCCAGCTATTTAAACTGCCAAATGAGACATAAAGCTGCATTGTAAAAATCATCTGGAAAACAGGTTTTCCCATTGAAGTCGCTATGTGTTAATTACTGTGAGCTGGAAGGCTGGAGATCGAATGCCTGGAAGCCGACTTTCACCCCGCATACGTAAACGGAAAAAGTGCTGAACCGCAGCCAGAGGGCTCCTGCTCGGACTCATTGCCATGCATGCCTAGACATTAATATGTGTTCATGGAGGGCTCGTACAGTACGAGGTGTTATTTCCTTATAAAGAAACACCAGGTCTCGCTTTCCATTCTTCTTACAAAATTATTCGCATTATTTATGCTACATTGAGCGATCTAATTTCTTCGTGATAGTCAGCTAATTGCTCTGGCAGGTAATTAGAAGCGGTTTAAAACGCAAAGGGCTTTTGCATTGCCCCTCGGATTATTAAGTTGCGCTGTAAATTATACCATATTTGCTAGGGAAAAAATTCTTTTGAGCAAGTTCTCTTCCTGCGATCCGAGATGAAATCGGCTCCCCCCCCCCACCCATGCACACACCCCTCCCTAACCACCCCCACTGCCACCACACCCCCTGCTTTTCCTGGACTCAGAGTCGAATGATTCTAAAGCACGCGATTTTGTTCGTGTTCACTGGGCCGAAATAACGTGGCCATTATGGCCTGAAATGGGCCAGGTTTGAAGCGAGCTTCCTGCGCGCCTGCAATATCCAGCAGGCATGTGGGAAAAGAACGGCTTAAATGGGGACATCTGTTCAGTGCTGCTCATCTTACTCTTACAGCCAGGTCAGGTTAAGAGAATAACCTGTTCGCCACCTTTTTTCTTGTTAATAAGACTATTAGAAAAAAAAAAAAAGCGAGCACACACACACACACAAACAACTCTAATTGAGCTGCCATATAAGCAAAGAATCAGACATACAAAGGTAGTAGCTGAGTTACAAGAGGAACTGTGAAAAAAATAACCATTGGGCTATTTCAGAGAAAATTTACAGCACTTCCGTCAGGAAAAAAATATAAACTGAAGAGTATGCGAACCTAAAAATGCACCCTGCAAAAGTGGATTTGCATAAGGAATTTTTTTAAATCAGTAAAGAATGGTTTATTTTCAGGTTTTCATTTAAATAAAATTGACCTAAAGTCAGTCGACATTTTTTCTTCTTAAGCTTTCCAGTAACCTGAGGCCCCACACTTTGTTGTTGTTGTTGATATTTTCATCTGTGTTATTTCCAAAGGTCTGAGGAAAAACCCCAAGTAGGAGCATCCTAGATTGTCCCCCGGTTTTAGAAAAGTGAATTGTATTCCCTTTCACAAATACCACCCATCTATAACCCTTGTACAATGATTTGAACACATGTGTGGTTAAACCCAGAAACCCGGTGCAGCTCCTAGATTATTTGTAATTAAACACAATTCCCAAAGTAACATTTATCTTCCCGAAACTGCGATTGCAATTGTCAACCGTCTGGAGGAGACGGCAGGGTAATCTGGGAGCATTACCTCTTCTAGTAACAGAACAGAATGAAAAGAAATCAATAGTGTTGAGGATAAGAATTTAGTAGTTTTTAACTCTGCATGTTAGCTCTGAGAAAGTGATATATAATACCAAATGAGAAAACAACTGAAACAAATCCATTCTAGGAAAAAATCAAAGATGAACTTGCTTGAATGTCGTATCCTTTCTTTCTCTTGCCTTGCACTAGAATATATACACACACCATTCGACACACCATTCACCCCCCTCCTCCAAATGAGCAAACTCTCTTTTCCCTACATGTGGTTTCTTCATTTATATGATGAAGGAGGAATAGGAAGTGCTATAGAATTAATTATCAATTTCATCTATGGGCTGGCAGAAAGATGAATTTGAAATATACCATTCAGTACAGTCCTGCCTGAAGAACTAGCATGCAGGGTCATATTAACCTACCAAGAGGAGATGAACATTATGCATGTAGATGGCAAATAAGCAAATGTGATTTCCCCCTATAATATTGGAAGAAATTCCTATTTTGGTAAATACTTCATATTTTTCTACCTGGAAACTTACCTATGTAGTCAACGATTGCTTGGTTGAAAAGCCCCTCTTTTTTGTCTTAAGAATAGTCTCAATTTCAATGCCTTAACTAAAGTGGATCCAAGCAGGTAATAGCCTAAGTGTGTATGTGTCTCATTTAATTAAGCCGTCCCTAACTTTTTAATGTTTTGAAGTGGCAAAGAAGCAAAAAATAAATAAATAAATAAATAAAAATTGAATTTTAAGAATTGTGATGTGGGAAGAAAAACATCAAATCAATTAAGAAAAAAAATATGAAATGCTCTCTATGGTGGCCCTACTCATTGGGAAAAAAAAAAAGTCACCAGAGCAATGCTTTGCATCCACCGGGAGATCCCATGCAAGCAGTTCAAGCGTCACTCTAGCTTCACTGTGGTCAACAAATGCATCCAATTAAGCAGTACCAGGAAAGTAAGGATTCAGCTGTAAATGTGGCCGGAGTTTTAAACCGAACAACCTCACTAATAGGAGCTATTGTTCAACGTGGAAGTTCCCATTTTCCAATCAGGAAAATACAGCCCTCTGCGGGCTCTGGCCGACTGATCCCTTCCCACCTATGGCTCAACAATCTGCCACCAGCGAGGGGCTTTTATTACCTCCCTTCCCAGGAAATGTTAGGCAACTTCCTAGTAAAGCCGCCCGAAAGCAGGAGTGGACGACAAAAGGACACCCCTCAGGAATCCCACAGGTCCATGCCTGGCCAGGTTTTCTTTTCAGCAGGAAAGAAACTTTGACCAGAGAGCTCCAGACGAGAAGACACCCCCCAACCTGGCCCAGCCCGCTCCAGCCCGCAGTCGCGGGCTGTCTGGACTCGCTCCCCACCCCTCTTCAAGCTTTATTTAGTAGCCAGCGCGTTCGCGCGCTAGGTCCCCGCAATTGCCATGGACTGGGGGCCGTTGTGGGTTTTTTTTTTTTTTTTTTTTTTTTGAGGAGGCGTCCACCGGGGACGCTCTGGCGGCGACGCCTTCACTCAGTTGACAGCGGGCCCTGCTGATCAGCTTCCAGAGCTTGCGCGTCTCTGCCCACACTCCGAAAACCGAGATGCGAAGAGCCGGGTTTAAGCGTACCTACCAGAGGTACGCGCCTCTAGTTCATGTGCATCCACTCCCGCACCCACCCAGGTTTTTCCAGGGCTATGTATATACCGGACCACATTTAGCACAGTATTTGGGGGTAGATGTGTTGCCAGACACTTGAAAGTCCGGATAACTTTGATGTTTTCGACTGTAAATGCCTAATTGTACTTAATGGTTACAAATGGCTTTATTTACTTGTCGCTGAATTTACACATTTTATAATCTTTTTAACCAAACAGCAGGGGAATATTTCACTCTCCACTTCCCGAAAAAAGAAAAGCAGGGATCGAGGCCTCTAACATGCCTTTGGAACCTTCTATTTCTTTGGTCGTGAAAGCCTAAGAGCTCCAGATTCAAGCATTGATTAGTCTTCAAATCCGCCTGCAAAAAGCTCCCCTTCTCTGCTCCATCTATGGAGATGTTGATATATAATATAGCTGCAAGGTGTTAGATATACTTGAGCAAGTTGTTCCCAGGATGTAAATTAGGTCCCAAAAGCTGTTGTCCAAATCGAAGAAACAGAGAAATTAATCTGGGAGACTATCCATCATCACCGGTAATAAAGAGAGCGACATGGATGAGACAGATGATATGATTAAGGGGCTGTGGTCGTTTTAATTAACTTTTTGCTGTCCTGTAATGATCAAACTGGTCACCAGACCCGGTCAATAAGCATGTTAATATCAAACAAATAAAACCAGGGATGATTAAAAACCTCCTGGTTTATTAAATTTGAAATTCAAATGAAATTTATGCTGCAGATGCATACAGAATGCTAATAGATTTTAGCTTTATTGAAAGTGAATCCCACAGGTTTTCAAGAAACAGCAGAATATCTGTCTACCCCTCTCCCTGGCAGCAGGTTAAACTTCATATGGGGTGGGGGAAACTTTTAATTAATGTCAGAAATCCTACACTTCCTACATTTATTTCCCCTTCCCTTCCAAACCTCTATATTATCAAGGTATAATAATCAGGAGTAAAGATCAGTATCACAAGAGATAAACTGAACTGAATGTGCCATGAAATGCTTTGGGGACAGGTTGATCTACAACAGATTACAGATGTTCCTCCTGTAGGAGATTAAAAAATGACCAAGTTCCTTTTCCAAAGTGGAGAAAGAGTTGCCATAAGACCAGTTTCACTGAAACCAGAAGCAAGATTATTATTACTATTTTAAATTTTGGTCCAAAATTTTGGTCAATTCTCTTTGTCTTTCCTTTTAACTCTATCTTATTCTTATGACGAATACTAACCACTTCTTTGTGGGGGGGGGCGGGAGGGAGAGTAGTAGATGAAAACGATGTCTTTTGACCAATATTACTCTGAAACAAACACCTAACCTTCAAAAATGGAAGAAAAGAGAATACGTGTTTCTTCTAATCAAGGGCTGCATATACAAATTTTTGTGAAAATCCCCTAATGCTTCAAGCTAACCTTAACAAATGCCAGTATATTCTTTAAATCCACATGAATGTTGTGACCCATTGTTATAAGAAGAATGACATGATTCTAGAGTTAATTTGTACAAATAAAAAATCTTAGACGTAAGTAACTCCAAGTGTAATAACATGATACTGAGTTTTTCTAATTTCCAGCATTTTGTTTTTCGAGGAAACAGTAGTTAACACTCTCTGTTTACGCTCAGAATCAGCATTTAACTTTTTAATAGTCCTGCCTCGCTTCCTTCCAAAAGATAGGAGGATAAAAAGATAAAATAAATAACTATACATAGAAGCGAGTCTTCCCTCAAAGCTTTATTCCTCCACCTTTGAGGGTGACATATTGATTAGAATTAAACCCCAGATTTGAACAACTGTGTATTAGGTCCTTAAAATGAATATCATTATAGAAGGAGACCAAAGCAATGAAGTTAATTCTCTTTTATTTGTTAAACGAAGTTCCCTCCTT